TCTATCACTCTTCTAGAATTCATAAGACTTATGTGGAGTCTATCAGAGTCACCTGGAGTCTATCAGACTCACCTGAAGTCCATCACTCTTCTAGAGCTCCTAAGACTCATGTGGAGTCTATCAAACTCACCTGAAGTCTATCAACAGGGATGGAAATTAGCACCCACCTTTGGCCAAGGGCGGGTAAAAATTTTGAAGTAGCGTGTAAATTTGAACAACGCACCAGCCACTGTGGCAGGTTTGCAATTTGAAAAGAAAAAAAATAGTTAAATATGTACCCCTGACCTATAGGGGCAGCAATGTGCCTGAGTTGCTGCTAGTCTGCTCTAATTGCCATTAGAAGGAGGAAACAGTAGCTTTAGTCTTTATCAATGTGGCGTTACATTTCGGGAGTTAAGTAGGTTGCAGACAACAAAAACCTTTCTCCAGAGAAGTTGAGGGATAAACTGTGGGTTGTTTTTTAACGAAAAATGGAAAAGAAATGACAATGGCAAGTTCCGTGACTGTCTCGTTTTTGATGAGAGCAGCCAGTCAGCGTTTTGTTCCAGCTGTTGGCAGAACGAGCTCTCCAGTTAGACTAATAATAACCTTATTGTAGGCAGAAAAAATTAGAAATTAGAGGCCATCAAAGACCACAAAGCATCTAAATGCCACAAGGTGAAATGCATCGTTCAAGAAGAAAACTGCTGCTGAGTGCACCGAGCAGCTGAAAACAGCATGAAAAGCTGAATGTACTGTTATGAATGGCTCTGCAAGTAAGTAATCTGATTACTATTAAGCATGTATCATAATGTTAGCTACCTTAGTCTTACAGTAACACAATGTGTTGTGTTAGTACTGGCAAGTAGCAACGCTTTATCAGTGTATGTAAACAAGACTGTACAGTATCCTAATGCATGCTCAATAATCCAGGTAGAAAAATCCAAAAAAGTTCAATCTGGTCCTCTGGACATTCAAAAAAAAAAAAAAAAAAGCAAAAAAATATAGAAACGTTTCGTCTCTCATCCAAGAGACTTCCTCAGTCTGAGGTGCTGTATTCAGCTCAGTCTCTTAAATAGCACCTTCTCAGAGTGGATCAACCAGTTTGCTGCTGACAACAAGACTGTACAGTAATTTTGGTGTTGCAATTAAAGTTATCGCAGTTTATGTGGAAAATCAGATGATGCTATATAATATTTTTTCTCCTTCAGATGAAAAGCAGGGAATATAGACAGGCAGCACCTGGCTGAAGTGTACGGATGTCTCACCTCTACTCAGTCAGTGCCGGCAAAATACAAAATAAGGTGAGAAGTCCAGACAGTTAATGCAAAATATGAAGTTGTCCAGGACTTTCTATTATAAATTTAGTGTACTAATTAGGGATGCACCAAGCCACTTTTTTTTTTACTTCCGATCCGATCCCGATACCTAAATCTAGATATCGGCCGATACCGATCCAGTTCCGATATCATGATCATCATTGATTTTATATGAGGCTGTAATAATCTGCTCTCAAGTACAATTTGTACAAATCTATGCATGCATGTCCAAAAAGGCAACTTGAGGTAAGTTCTATTAATGTTGGATAAGTTTTAAAGTTAGAATTAAATCCTGCTAACACAAAACATGTTTCTTTTTATTCCTAGTTTTAAAGTGGATATTAAAGTGATTAATTTAAGTAATTGTTTAAAGTTATTTTATATTTTTTAAATAAGGGGCAGATATAAGAATTGTTTTTCTTCTTTCTGCACTCTTTTCATTCAATATTTTATTTTCGATGATTTTTAAAAAATTTTTATTTTGTTTCTTTTAAATGAATGTATAAATGAATTAAATTAAATAAAATGTTAAATGTCTTCAAACACTTGGCATAAACCAACAGGCATGTTCCTGTTTTTAGTATTTTACATCACTTTATAATGTAGCTGTTTTTATTTTTAATATAATTTTCAAATCATGTTTTTTATGATTGTCTCCTGTTGTACTGATAAATATCTCCTGGAGGGTAAACTAGATCTTGGCTGCAAGTATCAAACTGTGAAATCCTTTGTTTTCTACAACTGATAGTGGTTGGTCATTAATTATGAAGTTTATCAACTTCTCTGTAAACATTAGAGCTCCGTGGTTTCAGCGACGTCTTCTTCTTGTTCAGTCCGAAGCAGGCAGTCTGATCTGGGTCAGCCCCGCTCAGTCTGTCCCTCCTCAGAGACGGGCAGACTGAGCGGGGCAGAGTGGACGAGGCTGGCCGGGGTCGAGTCGCTTGTTTTGGGTTGAGCAAAGAGCAGCGCCCGCTGAAGCCCCGGAGCTCCAATGTCCATTGTAAAACTAACTTTAACGTGGTTTAATGTGGCGCTGTGGCTCTGCAGACAGTGCACGTTGCTGTCTTGTCTTGTGGTGTTTAGTGTAAAATACTTCCACACAGCGACATGTTTAGATGAAAAGTTTGTTAGCGGTTAGCCACAGTGCTGCTAACTCAGTTCTCACGTTGTAGCTGCTGCAAACTATGAACTGGATTTCCTGAATGTGAGGCGGGTCTTATTACTCTGGGTTCTTGAGACACGCCGCCGTTCAGGAAATCCAGTCCATAGTTTGAAGCCAACATCCATCATGGATCGGAAAAATCCAATTCGTAATTTATGCTGGTATCAGAGGCTGATACCGATACTGGATCGGATCGGACCCATCCCTAGTACTAATCCACCACAGGCCTGGACCCAAACTGGCAGCCTGCATGGACCAGTACCAGTGGAATGAGAAGGTCTTAAGCTCAGTAAGGAAAGCAAAGATCCATCTCCTGGACAGTCTGTGTGAGAAGTTGCAGAACCGATTTGCTGAAGAATTCCTGGGTTCTTCATGGAACCATGTTGGTGGACCTGAAATCTTGGCCTGATGCACAATACTCTGAAGGTATATAGTTTGTCCTAATATTTTTCAGTTTTAAAATAATTTACACATTTGGTGATCCATGTAGTATAACTAAATATTTGTGGGACTATTTGTGTCTTTCTGCAGAGTTTGGGGAGGCAGAGGTAGATGACCTGACAAGTCATTCAAGCCTCATGAGTGACAACTGATCTCATCCCAGACCAGTGGATGATTCTAAAAAAATGTTTGTACCAAAGGGTGACTCTCCATTCTACAGCTTGGCCTGAGATGAACTGAATGCTACAGCATCAGTGCCCCGATGTGCTCAGCTTGGTGGACCTCGTCCTCTCCATTCCAGCCTCCACCGCAGACTGAGAGAGATGCTATCATGGTGCACATGATGTGCTACGTTAAATCAGACCAAGTACATATGTATGGTAAACTTCTTTACTGAAAATGTTTTCTGACCGAGTTAAGAATAAATCATATGATTTATATAATCTGATTGTACTGGTGGGGTTTGTAACCAAAGGAAAGTGTTACACACAAAAAAGAAAAATAGTGGCAGGTAAAAAAAAATTCCCCACCGAAAATTTTTAATTTCCACCCGTCTATCAGACTCATTTATCAGACTCACCTGGAGTTTATTAGACTCACCTGCAGTCCAACCGCAGATGCAGGAACCTGCTGCAGTAACGATGTTGCCAGTTGCTTGACTTCGAGGAAGTTGCTGGCCACGCAGTAGAGGATGTTCTGGGCATGTGCAGGAGTCACCATCTCACCCAGAGCGAAGACATCGGGCTCTGAAGAACAACACAAAGACAAAGGTGAGGAGGACGGAACAGAAACTGCTCGGACACATTCATTTATTCATTCAACCTTTATTTCTACAGGTTAGTCTCAATGAATCACAAGGACTCATTTACAAGAGAGACCTGATTTCAATAAAGAACACAGATGAGCTACAGACAACAAAAAACATTCAGATGAAAGCATATACAATGAAAAGTAAATAAATTATATAAAACAAATGGATGGATGGATGGATGGATGGTTGGATGGATGGATGGATAAAACGGTGTAAAATACTAAAAACAGGAACATGTACTTTAAAAAGTAAGGGAGTTATTAAATGATAAAGCTCTGTATATGTTGTATAACACAACCATTGTTCCACACTTAATCTATTGTATTGATGTTCGGGGGAAAGCGTGTAAAACAATTATAAATCCTATTTTCGTTTTACAGAAAAGAGCTGTAAGAATTATTACCAGGAAGCATTTCAGTCATCCATCAAGTACTTTATTTTATCGTCTGAACTTATTGAAGTTCAGGAGTGGGTCACCGGGGCCCCACTCTGGAGCCAGGTCTGGAGGTGGGGCACGCGGGCGAGCGCCTGGTGGCTGGGCTTTTACCCATGGAGCTTGGCCGGGCACAGCCCGAAGAGGAGACGTGGGTCCCCCTTCCCATGGGCTCACCACCTGTGGGAGAGACCAAAGGGGTCGGGTGCAATTTGGGATGGGTGGTGGTCGACGGCAGGGACCCTTGTGGTCTGATCCTCGGCTACAAAAGCTGGCTTGTGGGACGTGGAATGTCACCTCAATGGTGGGGAAGGAGCCTGAGCTGGTGTGTGAGGCTGAGAGGTTCCGGCTAGAAATAGTCGGACTCACCTCTACGCACGGCTCTGGAACCAGTTTCCTTGAGAGGGGTTGGACACTCTTCCACTCTGGAGTTGCCCCTGGTGAGAGGCGCCGAGCAGGCGTGGGCGTACTAATTGCCCCCCAACTTGGTGCCTGTGTGTTGGGGTTCACCCCGATGAATGAGAGGGTGGCCTCCCTCCGCCTACGTGTGGGGGGACGGGTTCTGACTGTCGTTTGTGCTTATGCACCAAACGGCAGTTCAGATTATCCACCCTTTTTGGAGTCCTTGGAGGGGGTACTGGAAAGTGCACCTCCTGGGGACTCCCTTGTTCTGCTGGGGGACTTCAATGCTCACGTGGGCAATGACAGTGAGACCTGGAGGGGTGCGGTTGGGAGGAACGGCCCCCCTGATCTGAACCCGTGTGGTGTTCTGTTGTTGGACTTCTGTGCTCGTCATGGATTGTCAATAACAAACACCTTGTTCAAGCATAAGGGTGTCCATATGTCCATTTTTTTTTCTTGCTACTCTACGGTGAAACCAGATGTGTTTTCCCTCTCTGCCCCCCCACACGCTTCCCTGCTGCGCTCTTTTGTCCTGTGAACCCTTAAAAAGCCTCTCTTTTTTTTCCTGCATACCTCTTAATTGGAAGGATCAGCTGGTCTCTCAACAAAATCGATCAACTTCTTCCGACAGGAGTCAGGGTAAGGAGGACACTCTGAACTCCGAAGGACAAATTGGATTCATGATGACAACTAGATTCTACTGTTTGATTGGTGGAATCTGGTTGTCTACAAATTCGTGTGGAGGTGTTGAAGCTTGACAGTGCTCGGATTGAATGTGGAGCTGTGACAGGGAATTGGAGCAGCTGTTATCAGGACTGTGTTCTCCCTGGCAGCACTCATGAATGGTGGAATAATCTGGAGAAGCTGTGAGCTCGACTTTTGGAGTAAAGGATCAATTCGGCTGTTTTGGAGTTTCCATCAGAGAATATGTACCAGCGAGACTTTAAAGGCAGAAACAACAATTACGAGTTCTGCCTGACCCAAACTGTGGCCTTGATGCCGGACTTATCTCAACTCCTCCTGGAATGTTCAGAAAACAACAAAGATGCTTTGACTGTTTCCTCACCCCTCCCTCCCCCAAGGCCGTGGACATGTAACAGAACCTCAACTGAGCTGAAGATGAACGTCACCTCTTATCTGGACAATGGCTGAGGGGGGGCTCTGGACTATGCTACGACTTTCCCTTAAAAATTCAATGTTTTCACCGCCTATATGTTCATGTATAACGTCTGTTTATGTTGCTTTGCTGTGGTAGGTTTTTTTGATGCCTCAAATTGTGCCCTGTCTAGGACAAGGTGTGAGAGATCTTTTTTTTTATTTTTTATACCGTCTCTCCTCATGTTTTCTTTCCTTTTCTTATCTAAGCAAAATATTATTCTGAATAAGAATAAGAAGGCCGCGCTAATTATTTTAGCCGCAGCTTCGTGCACTCCGCCCATCTTCGGACGACTGTACGTACATATTCGCGTTGTATCTCGGTGCAATGCCAATAAAGTTTATTCTGATTCTGATATATGTTCTTGGCACCAGGACACCCTAGGTCGTGGTTCGATGATCGACTTTGTCATCATCCCATCTGATCTGCGGTCACATGTCTTGGACACTCGGGTGAAGAGAGGGGCGGAGCTGTCCACTGATCACTACCTGGTGGTGAGTTGGCTCCAAAGGTGGGGGAGGATGCCGGTCAGACCTGGCAGGCCCAAACATGTTGTGAGGGCTTGCTGGGAACATCTGGCAGAGTCTCCTGTGAGACGGAGTTTTAACTACCACCTCCGGGAGAACTTCGAACATGTTCCGGGGGAGGAGGAGGACATTGAGTCAGAGTGGGCCATGTTCTGTGCCTCTACTGTCGAGGCGGCTTACCGAAGCTGCGGCCGCAAGGTTGTCGGTGCCTGTCACGGCGGCAACCCTTAAACCCGGTGGTGGACACCGTCGGTGAGGGATGCTGTCAGACTGAAGAAGGAGTCCTATCAGGCCTTTTTGGCCTGTGGGACCCCGGAAGCAGCTGATGGGTACCGGCAGTCCAAGCGACATGAGGCAGGGGTGGTTGCTAAGGCAAAAACTCGGGCATGGGAGGAGTTCGGAGAGGCCATGGAGAATGACTTCCACACAGCTTTGAGGCAATTCTGGTCCACCATCTGGTATCTCAGGGGGGAAAGCGGTACGCCACCAACACTGTTTATAGTGGGAGTGGTGTGCTGCTGACCTCAACTCGGGATGTCGTGGGTCGGTGGGCAGAATACTTTGAAGACCTCCTCAATCCCACCGGCACGTCTTCCACTGAGGAAGCGGAGCCTGCAGACTCTGTGTCAGGCCCTCCAATCTCTGGTGCTGAGGTCACCGAGGTGGTTAAAAAGTTCCTCGGTGACAGGGCCCCAGGGGTGGATGAGATTTGCCCAGAGTTCCTTAAGGCTCTGGATGTTGTAGGGTTGTTTTGGCTTATGCGACTCTGCAATATTGCGTGGACATTGGGGGTAGTTCCCCTGGATTGGCAGACCGGGGTGGTGGTCCTCATATTCAAAAAGGGGGACCGTAGAATGTGTTCCAACTAGAGGGGGATCACGCTCTTAAGCCTCCCTGGTAAGATCTATTCGGGGGTTCTGGAGAGGAGGGTCCGTCGGATAGTCGAACCTCGGATTCAGGAGGAGCAGTGCGGTTTTCGTTCTGGTCGTGGAACACTGGACCAGCTCTACACTTTCAGCAGGGTCCTGGAGGGTGTGTGGGAGTTTGCCCAACTGGTCTACATGTGCTTTGTGGACTTGGAGAAGGCGTTCGACCGCGGCCCTCGGGGAACCCTGTGGGGGGTACTCTGGGAATATGGGGTCCCAGGCCCTTTGATACGGGCTGTTAGGTCCCTGTATGACCGGTGTCAGAGCCTGGTCCGCATTGCCGGCAGTAAGTCGGGCTTGTTCCCGGTGAGAGTTGGACTCAGGTTGCCCTTTTGTCACCGATTCTGTTTCATAACTTTTATGGACTTAATTCCTAGGCACAGCCAAGGTGTTGAGGGGATCCGTTTTGGTCGCCTTAGGATCGCTTCTCTGTTTTTTGCAGATGATGTGGTCCTATTGGCTTCATCAGACCGTGATCTACAGATTTCGCTGGAGTGGTTCGCAGTCAAATGCGACGCGGCCGGGATGAGGATCAGTTCCTCCAAATCTGAGGCCATGGTCTTGAGCCAGAAAAGGGTAGAGTGCCCTCTCCGGGTCAGGGAGGAGGTCCTACCCCAAGTAAAGTTCAAGTATCTTGGGGTCTTGTTCACAAATGAGGGAAAAATGGAACGCGAGATCGCTAGGCGGATAGATGCAGCGTCTGCAGTGATGTAGGCGCTGTACAGGTCTGTCGTGGTGAAGAGAGAGCTGAGTCAAAAGGTGAAGCTCTCAATTTACCGATGGATCTACATTCCTACCCTCATCTATGGTCATGAGCTTTAGGCTGTGACCGAAAGAACGAGATCACGGATACAAGCGGCCGAAATGAGTTTTCTCCGCAGGGTGTCTGGGCTCTCCCTTAGAGATAGGGTGAGAAGCTCGATCATCCGGGAGAGATTCAGAGTAGAGCCGCTGCTTCTCCACATCGTGAGGAGCCAGTTGAGGTGGCTCAGGCATCTGGTTAGGATGCCTGCTGGACACCTCCCTGGTGAGGTGTTCCGGACACGTCCCACCGGGAGGAGGCCCAGAGGAAGACCCAGGACACGCTGGAGGGACTATGTTTCTCGTCTGGCCTGGGAACGCCTCGCAATTCCCCCGGAGGAGCTGGACCAAGTGGCTGGGGAGAGGGAAGTCTGGGCCTCCCTACTTAGGCTGCTACCTCCGTGACCCGACCCCGGATAAACGGAAGAAAATGGATGGATGGAACTTACTGAAGTTCCATGATTTGGTAATTATAATGTTTGATCAGTTATGTATAGGGCTCATAATAACACATTACCTTTAAATATCCAATTAAATTTTGTTAAAAGAGAGAGTTGTTATAATCTTAAGGGGATGGAAATCTTCATGAAACCTAAATTTAGAACTCATCTGAAGGAATGGTCTACCTCAATCCAAGGAATTAGATTATGGAATAATCTGGAGAGTGATGTTAAAAATGTAAGATCAATGAGTATGTTTAAAAGAATGATCAAAGTTGGTTTGTTAAAAAAATATGAAATAGCTTAATGTGTATTTGTATGAATAGTTGCTCAAGAAGGAGTTATTTAATTTTTTTTGTTATTTGAAGACTATTATTGTTTGAATTAATTTTTTGAAAAAAGGGGCAGATATAAGATTTTTTCTTCTTTCTGCTGCCTTTCATTTATTTGTGATTGCATTTCTTATTGTTTATTGAAATGTTTTGCTTTTGTTTTTTAAAAAATTAATACATTTTATAAATAAATAAAAACGTCATATGATGACCGTGCAAGAAGATGTATTATTGTGATCTAATTAACTTTTAATTTAAAATTATAATCCTATTAACTCATTTTTTTTTATCTCTGTGTTATTTGCAGTCTGAGGATGACAGTAGCTGAGTCTTGTTCATTCACCAGATCACCTCCAGATAAGAAGTCTGTAATGACTGAACTTGTTTACTTGGCAGATTTTTAAAATAAACATTTTGTAAGTCTTTATTTTGGTCTTTATTGTACCGAAAATGAACCGAACCGAAATGTGATTTTAGCGTACCGTTACACCCCTACCCATCACCACTCATCTCACATTTTGGGGTGGTC